CACAGGCCCTGGAGCCAGATGGCTAGAGGTGAAACCTGAGCTCTGCCCCTTACTAGGTGGACATGTTCTTGAATCCTTCTACATCTCAGTTTCCTGCACTGTGAACTGAGGGGTGCTGTGTCTCTCTCACAGGAGGAAGATGCTTAAATGAGTTTATACAAGTGCTAAGACAATAATTGGCACATAGTAGCAGGCACGATATGACCTGGGTTTCCATGGGTATTATCATTGTGAGTAGCATAATTGCTATTTTTGCTACCATGTTAATCAAATTATACTTTCTCTGACCTCATTTGACACCATATTAACTAGAAACTTCTTTTCGAGGCAATCCATAGTATCAAAATCCTTCCTAAGCATATTCTCTCAGTGTCCTACTCTTACACTTACGTTAAATTAAATTAAATTTTTATTTGATCACAAAAGATCCTGCGATAATTTAATGAAAGATCATTATCAACATCAATAACCATTGAATTACCCTGATGACAGAGAAGAGATTGGACTAAAAGTCTGCTAACTCTAAAGCATCCCTTAAAACTAGCAAGTGTGGGGGCCAGCAGTTGGTGTATTGGCTGTGTTGCTGGACTCCCATGTGGACGACCGCAGTTCGAGTCCCGGACCCAGTGACTTAAACTCATGCCAGGTGCGTGTGTATGCATACATAAGATTCCGAGAAGAGAATGGAGGAGAAGAGATTGCAACATGGCCATCTCCCCTGGGGGGGGTGATTTTTTACTTTCTGTCTCTGTCTTTCTGGCGAGCGCATGCGCCCTATAATAAAAACCTCTTAAAAAAAAAAAAAAAACTAGCAAGGGTTGGGGGGCCAACCAGATGACATGGTGGTTAAGGCAGGTGGATCCCACATGGCCGACTACATAGTTGAGTCCCTGATCCAGCAGCTTAGAAAACAGGCCACGTGTGTGTGCCCAAAATCCTGAGAGAAGAAGGGATTTTGGTATGGCATCCCCAGGGAAGGTGCTTTCTCACTTTCCCTCTGTCTCTCTCTCCAGTGACTGCACGTGTCCTATTAAAAAATTTTTTCTTAAAAAATCTGTCTCAGATGAGACAGATTTTCTTCTGTATTCCTTAAGAGATAGGGTTGCTGTGGCTGTCATTCTGTGTTAGTAGGCTAACATATAATTCTGACCATAACCCACTTGGTTATAAAGAACTACGTCAAACTATAGTCTGAGAAACTCTCATATATCTTCTCAGCAAAGAACTCATCACAGGACAAACTTAAATACATGTTCCATGAGAAAAAAAATGTAACGTGGTTTATCTTAAGTTCCTTAAAGGAAAAGGGATTTAGAAAGACAAGATACTCATCAGCCCTACTAGTCAGAGCATCCTGAGATCAACCCTCTTTCTCCTTGTGCCAAAAAGCAATGGACCTGGCTGAGGAATCTATCACCGCACTGAAACTGTCTCTGCCATGACAGTAAAAACAGCACAGGCACCTCACTAAATACTGGGGCATCTGACCACAGTCTTACTTTCAAGACGACGACAGATCACAGAAAAATTATTTGGCTATTTTTAAATATTTAAAGAAAAACAGAACTTCTAGCTTCCACTGTATATAAGAAGAATTGCTTGAAATACCTCCATAAACATATGCCGTAGCATTAAAGCTATTAATTTGACTGGAAATAAATCATGAGGTGCCAAAATGTCTGCACATACAATCAGTATACATTTTCCATAAAAAGGGGGACTATCTGTATGCATCCTAAAAATACACTTCCCTTAAACAAAATTTAAATGCCTCAAGTAAATTAAATACATGGACTTTTTTTCCCCAAATACAATGAAGTTAAATTAAACTAGGCTTCTTTTGTAATATATCACTTCACAGCAGATTTTTCTCTAACATACAGGAAGGGGAAAAAAATTTAAAAAGCTGTCTCCCTTCAAGGGCAGACCTGAAATGCAGAGTGCAATACCAAGCCCTAAGCCAAGCAGTTGTTGAACAAGCTCATGAGGAGTCGTGTTGGAGACTGTTCCAAGCTGGTTTGAAGCTAGAAGTCAACAGAGGCATCACTAGTAATCAGTGCAAATTACATTAGAAAAGTCTCTTACTACACAGCTCATGAAATGTCTTGATGACTGAATGTCTCAATGATCGAGAGAGGTGATTAACTTGAGATAAGGCTCAATACAGATGCACTGCTGAGATACAAAGAGGCTATCTGATGTCAACTAGTTTAATTTGAGGTGTGTGTGTGTGTGTGTGTGTG